TGTGCCTGGAGGGGGCAAGGTGAAGTAGGAGGAAGAGGAAGCTCTCTGCACACACTCACGGGAGTGTGGGCTAGGACTGGGTCTGGGGCCTCCGGGACGGGGCAAAAATTCCTACTGGCAGGCGGGGTGGGGAGGCACTGCGGAGTGGTGAGGGGCGGCCCAAGGGGCTGGGAGAGGGTCCGGCCCACTCTGCACCTGGGCTGGAACTGGTCCCGCTGGCGCAGGGTAGCAGGAAGCTCTCCGCACACTCACCGGACCTGGGCTAGGACTGGGTCTGGGGGCTCCCAGAACTCGTCAAGCTCTTAAAGAAAACAAATTTCACCACAGACTGCTATATCTTGCAAAATAATTTTTCAAAATTGGTTGAGAAATAAGACACTTTCCTGATAAAACCTAAGGAAATTAAGGACCACCTAACACAAATCCCCAAAGAACATTCTAGAAAAAGACAGGGAAGCTACCAATGTCAAAATGTCCAGCAAAATGAATACACCAGGAAGGGGCAGTAATTAAGTAGAAGGAAAGAAAGCAAAAGAGCAAAAGGAAAATAATAGGATAACAGGAGTAAGTCAATATCTATTAGCCATGACTTAATTCACCAAAGACACAATTAGCTGATTTATTTGACCTTGTTCTACTTTGAAAAAAGAAATGAAGTCCAGCATTATACTGTACAAAGGAATTCATTTATCAAAATAGAAATTCATAGACTAAAAATCTAAAGATGGAAAACAATAATCCATGCAACTGGAAACCCCTGAACAAGTAAGAGTGGCTCTCCTATTTTCAGACAAATTGAAGTTCAAACCAAAGCTGACCAAATGAGGTAAAAAAGAATCTGACATATGGGTTAGTGGAACTACTAATAAGTGTTAACAATTACAAACACATACACCAAGCCATGTGGTGCCCAATTTCATAAAGCAAATTCTAATATACATAAAAGATCAGATAAACATCAAGACAATTATAGTGGGGGGAATCTCAAAAACCAAATATCACAAATAGATCAACTGAAAACAAAAAAAATCAGAGTTTAACTAAATGTGCAAACAAATGGACTTAATGGATATCTACAGTATTCCGCCAGAACATAATACACATTCTTTTTTGCTTTCCTTGGTCCTTTCTTCAAAATAGACCACATGCTAGTTAATAAAGCATGTCTAAGAAAATGCAAAAAAAAAAGTTGATATCCTACAATGCATATTGATCATTGCTATGTGAGTGGAAATCAACAGCAAATGAAACCACAGAAGAAAATAAGGAAGGATGAAAGAAATGTATATGTAATATGCAAAGGATAGCTTGATAATTGTACTACTGATTTTTTTTTTTTTTTGTGTGTGTGTGTGTGTGTGTGTTACAGGGAACTAAACTCAGGACTTACACTTGCCAGACAGATGCTTATTCTACTGAGCTATCCACCTAACCACAGCAAACTTCTGATTTCTTGGAGTCTATTGAAAGGAGCAGTTAATGCCTAAAATTTTCTCTCATTTTTAAGTTTTTATAATATTTTTAATCAATTTTCATACTTATATCTGTTAATCTGATAACTAATATAAAGGAAACATGAAATTTAAAACTATTGTTGAATTTCTATCAGTTTAGTGAAATTCTGTATCAATTATAATTTTTTTATTACTATTTGTTCTCTTTAAAAAGAAAAACAAGGGCCTGGGAGATGGCTCAGTGGAATAAGCGCTTCCCTGGCAAGGGCAAGGACCCGAGTTCAATCCCTGGTTCTGCCAAAAAGAGAAGAAAAAAAAAGAAGAAGAAAAATAAACTATGTAAATTTATAGAAACTAAATACCTTTCTTGAATTTCAATAGGTTACAGGAGAAATTAAGGGAGGAATAAATTCTTAGGACTAACTGACAATGCCAGGGCCGGGGAGATGGCTCAGTGGAATAAGTGCTTCCCTGGCAAGTGGAAAGGCCCGAGTTCAATCCCTAGTTCCATCAAAAAATAAATGTAAATAAATAAATGACAATGCCAGTACAACATAACAGAACTTATGGGACACAGTGAAAGCAGTCCTAGGAGGAACTTTGGAGTGGTGAATGCCCATATCAGAAAACTAGAATGAGGCCCAAAAAATAACCTAATGTTGCATCTTAAGATCTTAGAACAACAAGAACAATCCAAACCCAGATCTTGTATAAGGAAAGAAATTTTAAAGATTAGTGTAGAAATTAATGGAATGGAGACTAGCAAAAGAATAGAAACAATAAATGATTTGAAAAGCTGGTTCTTTGAAAGATTAAATAAAATACGCAAACACTTGTTTATCTTACCAAAAAAGGGAAAAGGACAAAGATTATTACAATTAGAAGTTAGAAATAAAGAAGGCAATATCAGATTAGACACTGCCAAATCTTGAAAATTACTAGCATTTACTTTATGTATTTAGTATAGGGTTTACAGGGTCTCACTACACAGACAGGATGTGTAGTGATTCTATTGTTTTCAGCCTCCCAAGCACTGGGATTACTGATGTGCTCCACCACACCCAGTCTCAATCTCCATCTCAGTGTGCCCCGGGGACAGGGTCAATATAGCAGGCTGGGGATCGAACCACTGGCCCCTGCTCTCACTAAGCAGGAGCCTTAATCTGCTGAGCTATCTGGCCAGCCCTAGTAGCATCTACTTGACAAACACATGCCAAACAATTGGAGGACTCAGAAGAAATCAGGATTCCTAGACTCATATGAAGTATGAAAGCTAAACCAAGATTGACAAATCTGAAATAATCTAATAATAGCATCCATGAATAGCAATGAAATTGAACTAGTGATTTTTGTAAAAATACCCACTGGAAAATAGCCCAATATTTAATATATTCATAGATAATTATAAAAAACTTCAGTGGATATTTAACGCTAACAATCCACAAACATTTGTATGAAAGAGAGGGAAATTAATACTTCCAAAATCATTCTAAGAAGTGAACATCATCTAAAATGGGACAAAGATTAGACCCTTATATCTCACCATGTACTAAATTAAAATCAAAGTGGATCAAAGATTTAAATGTTAAAATAATCTGTTTAATTAAGAAAAATATGTACAATTCTTGAAGATATCAGTACAGCCAAAGGTTTTCTAAAGAGAACCCCAGTGGTGTAAGAAATAGTACCAAAAATCAAAGAATGGGATCATTTCAAATAACAAACCTTCTTTAGAGCAAAATAAGAACCAACAGTAAAGGGATAACCTACATGGTAGAAAACAATTTTAGCAGCTATTCCTTGGATGAAGAACTAGCATCAAGAATATACAAAGACTTCAAAATAATTAAGCCCCCCAATAAAATATCCAATCAAAAATGGACAACCAAAAAGAACTGACACTTCCCAGAAGCACAAATGGCTAATACATCGAAAAATGATCATCCTGACCATCACAGAATGCAAATTAAAACTTCACTAAGATATCCTCTTACTCCAGAAAGAATGGTTACCTTCAAGAAATCTGAGACAGATACTTGTCACTTACTTTCCTATTTAACTACACTTCAGACTTAGTCCGAGGGATGCTGTTTGGATTTATGACTAACCCCTCAGACTTACAACCTGTTTTTCTGTTTGCTTGCTTTGTTGTTGTTGTTCAATAGTTCTATAAATCTTGCTTACAGAGGCTCAATATCTCTTGTTGTACAGAATATCCTACTTATATGGTACTATATTTTTTCTGACTGCATTGTATAGTACTATGGTTTTGTGTTCTGTTATACATCAACTGCTCCATGTAACAGTTATGCAAATAAAAACAAAGTCATGAAGATAGAGTTTTCTTTGACCACTTTGTTGTTCTGAAAATTGTAATGAGCATGCTTTTACATACAATTCCTCATATAGCAAACAATTCATTTAAGAACCTGATCACAGGACCAAGGAGTGCCTATAATAACAAATGCTTGTGAAGATGTGGGGAAAAATAACTATTACATCACTGGTGGAAATGCAAACTAGTATAACCACTATGGAAATGAGTATGGAGATTTTTCAAAAGAAATAAAAATAGAAATTCCATTTGACCCAGGGATCCCTCTTCTAGATATATTCCCAAAGAAGTTAAGATAATATTACAGAGATCCATGAATAGCTATGTTTATAACAGCACAATTTATAATAGCTGGATATTGATGAAATTTAAAATGAAAAAGGAGGCATCAATAGCAGAATAGATCAAACAATAGAATGGTAAGCTCCAAAACAGGCTATTTTAAGTTACACAGTTACAATAAAAACTAACAAGTGGGCTGAAGAAGCTTATAGGAAGTTTGGGTTAGCATTAAAGTTGCAAATATTTGGGTTATAGGAGTTTAAAAAACATGTGCTAATACAAAAGATATAGAAAGTTCATTCAAAGAAATAACAGAAAATTTCTCAAGTCTAAAGAAGGATACAAATACCCAAGGAGAAGCAAGTTAAAGGCTACTAGTTAGCTTCAACTCAAGCAATCTTTCTCAAGACATTTTATAATCAAATTCTCAAAGCTTAAATGAAGATAAAGAGCAGATTCTTGAGACTAAGCGAAAAGAAACAAACGACACAGGGGTGAACCGATCCGCAGTTGTCTTACAGGCTAGGGGAGTATGAAACATTTTCACAGAACCAAGGAAAAAAATGCTAACAAAGAACACAATACTCAACAAAGCTGTCCTGTAAAAATGAAAGACTGATAACAGCATTCCAAGACAAACAAAGTCTCAGAGAATAGCTCTACCAGCCCTGTTTTTTCAGAAAGTGCTCAACACAGCTACTCAAACCAAAGAAAAAAGGTATTATTGACTGAGAAGTGAACACTAGAAGATCTAAATCTCACAGGTAGGACTAAGTTATAAAAAATCTAAAGCATTTGAATATTATGAATATGATACACAAATCATATCATTTGTGTGAAGACTGAACAACTACATTTAATAAATTCATCAACTACATTGCGTTAATATGCTAAGAGATAGCCAGTGCTCACGGTGGTGCACATGTACTGAAATTGGAACAATTCTAGAGAATATTAGCATGGCTCCTGCGCAAGAATGACATGCAAATTTGTGAAGTGTTCTGCATTTTTTTTAAAAAAAGAGGCAATATAAAAAGACATAAAATGTATCAAAAATAAAAATATAGGGCTTACTGGTAAAGTATTTCCTTGGCATATAAATGATCCTGGCTTCCATATCTAGCAATAGAAAAAAAAATAACCTAACAAGAAAATTAGAGAATTTTCTATAATTTCTAGCAAAGAATAGAATTTTCTTGGGTTTTTTTTTCCTTTTTTGGTTTGCATTCGATCTTTATAGCCATGCTAAGTTGCTATAATTTCAGAATAGCGTTTTGGAATCAAAAGAGTGTTTCTAAGCTTCAGGATAACCACAAAGAAAAAATTTACAATAACCAAAAATAATAAACAAGCCACTAAAACATACTATGGAAGTAAATGATGTAAGCACAAAGCAAGATTCTAAACAGAGAACAAAGAAAGGAACTGTAATAAAATCAGAAAACAAGTTACAACATAGCTTTAGCAAAATCTTACTTACTGACTATTACTTTGGATATAAAAGGATTAAATTCTTTAGGATAGTTTGGAAAATTGTACTGTTGATTTCTGCCACCTATTAAAATGAACAGTTAATGCCTAATTCTTTTTTAACTTCTTATAACTATTTTTTTCTTTACCAATTTTACATGCTTATATCTGGTTCTCTAAACAAAAATTTCAACATAACATTAATTAATATAACAACCATTGTTGAATTCCTATTATTTTGTTTAGTGAAATTCTGTACTGTTTCTATTTTATTTTCCTTTAAAAAAAAAAAATTTCTATCACCTCGCCTGAAGGAATCAAAAACATAGGACCTGTAACACAGTGACATCTGAAATTCTAATGAATTTGTTCACTGGAGATAAAGTTTTTTTAAAAAAATCTTAAAGTCCCATGTTCATTACAAAAGTCAATTCAGATTCTTATGAAGAGCTTATCTTTACGTTTTTTGTGAAGGAGGATGGGACACCAGGCTACAAACTTTTTGGATTTGCAGGACCCAGGCATCAGCGGCAAACAGCTGGGTCATTCTGGAAGATAATCTCTTTTTATCAATTCCTAGGATAATCCACATATTCTGGTAATAGGTCACCAGAGTTTGGGGGATGGACTAATGGAGGGCATACATCTGGGCCGTGTGACCACCTCCTGCAAGCGGACACAGATGTCAGCTCCTGCAAACAGGCATGCACGGGCCTGCCTTCTCCCCGACGCCCGACCCGTGGGTGAGGCATTGCCGCGGCTCTGCAGTGCATCTCGGCCGGCCGGGGCAACTTCTAAGGAACCGAGCTCTGCACCAACCTCGTCCCTCCCTTGAAGGCTTGGTTGCTAGTGGAGACCGGAGCTCCTCACTGCGCTGCGGCGCCGCCACTGGAAAAGGGAGATAAACATCTCTTGGGACTCATAAAGATGAGGATTTCTTGCGAAAGACCACTGCATGTAAACTTTAAAGAAGTTTTTAGGATTGCAAAACTGATGGATCGAGACGGGGTGGGGGAGATGGCGGCAGCCCTGAGACAACAGGAAGGGAGGGCGAGCGGGAGGCGGGGGCACGACCCCTGATTTTCCTCACCGCTGCTGGAGCTGGCTGGGTGGGGAACAGCCTCTGAGCGTGAACTTTGCTCTTGCGACTTGTTCCCATCTGTCTACCCTGTATCACAGAGACAGAGATAGAACAGAGAGCGAGACACCAAGTAGTAGGAGGCCAGGCTGCCTTGCATGCTGTTCCCATGGGACCCACACAATGGTTGCTGCCTTCAAGCGTGGTGCTTCAGCTATGCTGCTGGCCTGGGTCCCCACTGTGCTCGTGGCCACATCTTCCTACTGGTGATCCCGGCGAGGCTCAGTGTGTCCTGAGCCCCACACCGTTGTCCTCCTTTCCCTCCTCAAACCCACCAATCCAGGGGCCACATAAAGTTAACTCAATTGTTCCTCTTACACCCTGCTTTCTTTCCTTTCAGTCTTGTGCAGAGCACATGGACAGTGTTCTCCCTGCCCTGCTCCTGCCAAGGGCCCCTTGCTTTACTCAGTCTCCACGATGCCCACCTCCCACCATCCTGGCTGACAAGGCTGCCTCCCCTCCCTGGATCCAACACAGGGGGAAACAGTCCATCTCTTCCCATCCCCTTGGACTGACCCTCAGGCTCTCCCCCTCTTCTCTCCACATTGGCCAGTGGCCTTGTCCATTCTGTGGAAACATCTACCACTTTCCCCCAGTCCATGGATTCAGTACACTCATCTGAACCTGATCCTGAGGAACAAATTCTCTGTAATGGCACCATTCCTGAGCATGGCACTCTATGGCTTTGTCCTCAAAGCAAAGTCTTCCTCTTTTGCAGTTTTGAGGTACAAAGAGTAGAGTCCTGCTGCTGCTTATGATGCCCTTGGGCTATCTTTTCTATTATCTTGCTCCTCAGAAGTGGTGATTCTCTGAGTTCTATCTTTGCAGTTCACAGCTTTATTGGCACTTCTTTTCTGGTAAAATTCACAATATTTTTAAATTTTCCTGTTGGGTGCTTTGCTCTTGATTCTCAACATAAATCTGACTGGAAGCCCCCAACAAAAGCCATGCTACTACCTCAACATT